GTGTAAAAATTACTTAGATTAGTCCATTTCAGAAAGTGCCTGAAGGAAGCTCATGGGGTGTGACACTTGATGAGAGAAGGCTCCATACGGGTACATGTGTGGGAGACTGCATCTCATCTTCAGCTAGGGTATACTCTTCACCCCATACAGAAAAGTGAGAATAGATAAAGAAGTCAAATTTGTGTTGCAGGGATGGGTGGAATGTGAACAAGACTGTTGGGGTACTTACAAGTTGTCAGGCAGCCAATACATGTAGTGTGGCTGGGGCATGTTCAATCATACCTTGTATTCACATCTCAATTTTACAGGACAGACTCCAGATGTGATAGGAGGGGATATGTAATAAGTATCCTTTCTTATCTCAACTCTACTATCAGATTCTACAAAACTAATACCAGCTGTGAGAGGAGGGTACTGTAGTTAAACAGTATGGACCCATCAAGTGCATGTTCACCCCTACTACACTGACCAGGCATTGGCTGAAGGAAGAAGACATGTCATATATCTTTATATATATATATAGATGTAGATTGCAATGAACAGATTCTATGGGACAGACCCTATTTGCAACAGGAGGGCACTGTATTATGCAGTATTGGTCTATACTTAGTGAAGCTCACCACAAGTCTACTGAACAGACTTAGACCACAGGAGGCATGAGTAATGTATGTGATTTATATGTTGGATGACCTGCACTACATTAACCCTTTGACTACCAGTGCACTCTTTAAACTCCTTTCTGCATATGTAACTAAAGCATTATATTCAACATTTAATTAAACAACTTTGCTATCAATGTGTTTTAATGAAATTAGTATTATCAAGTACATTATAATTTAAAGTTTTATATTATCTATATTTTCATTTGTCTATTTAAAAAAACCCTCTAAAACAATAATTACATCTTCTATTTTGTTGTCATGTGATGTACATGTGGTTCTATTTCTATTCAGTTTAGCATAGATGAGTTTCTATGCATCCAAGCTCAAATTCCAAACATGTTTCACCTAACAACTGGAGCTTTGAAAGAGGAAGCTGTAAATCTTTCTCCCCTCTAATAGTAGCCACACCTACTTTTTGCTAAACAAGAGTTTTAATCTGAATTACACACTTATAACTTATATATAGAAAGAGCTATTTTAGATCTATAATTTCTCAAGGTTGTCTTCAAACTGGTACAGAGTATGTGGTTAAGCAAGTCTAACCACCGCTTTATATTATTGGGCCATTCTCTTCTAACACTCAAGTTATTATTTTTCTTAGTTTGATAGACAGTTAATTGAATTTAGGTTTTACTTTTATATTTTACTTAATTATGTATTATTTGTGTTTTAAAATTTATGTTTGAAAGGTTTAATAATTATGCATTGCTTTGTCAGGCTAGCATTATAGAGCAAGTGCAAAAACATTTTGATGAAGGCTAAAGTATCTCTGTTGATGATACCATAATTTCACCCACAGGCACCAGGTAAAGAACAGAAAAGGAAAATAAAACTTCAAATATAAACTATAAGTGAAAAGATAAAAGACATGATATTATGCATGTGACCCAAAGAAGATATTTTAAGTGTTAAAAGGTATGTGCATACTTCCATTTCTTAATGTTAAACATTTCATTGCACTGTATGTTGATGACAATAACTACAGTTAGTGATATAGTACAGAAAATGAAAAATAAAATATAAAGATTTAACTTACAAAAACTTCTGATATTCAATTAGGAAGTTCAAGATATTATGCAAATGAATTGTGAAAACTGTACAATGATAAAAAAAAGAATTCATGATGTTAGAAAAACATGTAGGTTCAAGAAGTCTTGATAGATATGAATAAAAACCCTGTAACCCAAGCACTTTCGAAAGGTGAAATTCCTTCAGGGGCAAACTGAAGAAGAAAGGTCCACCTTTCGAAAGTACTTGGGTTATAGGGTTTTTATTCATTTCCAAAAAAAAAAAGTATTTCTATATTTAACATAAAAATCTCCATGCATGTGAACTATTCAGAGTCAGTACAAATAATTATATTCAATAATTAGTAGGGAAGTTCTTATTAAATTTCAAACAATTTCATCCACTAGTTTTATTTTTGGAGTGAAATATGATGAGTTTCTAATGTAGTTATAGTCACCACTGCCCCTCTTCTCAATTTTTTGGTACTTCTTTTTCTAGCCCCAGTGGTTGAGTCCAAGCAGTCTGGGTTTTTCATGATCCACCAGCTCAGGATCTTGAAACTGGTAAGTGGCAAGGATCATTTATGCTTTACTTGACAAGGGGTGGAAAAAATTTGTGTAGGGGAAAACCCAAAGAAAATGCCCAAATTCCCTAATTTTAAAAGACAGCAAACCCAAGCCAGAGAAGTGGGCAGAATACATTGTTGGTGCTGACTTTTCCCATGATAGTCCATGGAATTGATATGGTATGTATTAGGCAATATAATGAATATATATATATATATATACCATGAGGATACTTCAAGTAGTCTTGGAGAACACCCCATCTCACAGTGGCCACATGTAGAGCCAGGTCATATAATATGAGTGCCTTTCATTATCCTGGCTCGATGTGAATATTGTGTAAGTATACTCTGGAATGAAGAAAGGCTCTGAAAAAGAAATAGTACAAATACCTCTCAAAGATAGTGGGTGATTGAAGAATGGTAAAGTGTGGAAGCCAAAAACCATCAAAAGAGAAAACAGCCAAAAGGTGTATAGAAGGAGATGAATGTGTGGACAGAGCCCTTCCAAGAGCTGGGGTAAAAAGTAAGTAAGGGAATGAAAAAAGGTGATGAATTGAATGTGAAGATAAGTGAAATAATCTGCAAGAATCCACATCCCAAGACAAATATGTCAACAGAGGAGTCAATGGACCTATCCCATAAGGGAAGAAGGAAAGAGGTCCATGGAAAAAGAGGGTTCCCAGGAAGGGGACAGACAAAGGTGGGGAACCCTAATAAGGCACACCAAACAGCCCAACAGGACATAGGAACTCAGTCGGGTGTAAATGGTCCAATAGGCAAGAAACAGAATGAAGGGAGATAGGAGAGAAGTGGAGTGTATCTCCTGAGTGGTGGAAATTGAAGAAGAAAACATCAGTTGAGGAAAAGGAAAAGTGCAGAAGAAGAGAGTGAGAGAAGCATCTATAGGAAAAACATTGGGGCAACAATAATCGTCAGAGGAAACAAATCATGAGATACAGATGATACAAAAGTCAGGAAGTCAGTGGCTCAAATGGGGCATGTACAAGACTGTGCAAAACCTCATTCAGTTGGGTGAAGAAGACTGAGGAGAATGAAGGAGCAGAACATAATGGAGAGAAAAGGGGAAGAAACCACTCTGGATACCTGAAAGAGAGAAAGGTCATGGACAGGAACACTCAACACTTAGGAAAGGCTGAGATTAAGAAACCATCAACAACCAAAAAGGGCAGAAAGGTGGTACACAGGGTTACTGTCAGGAAGAAATGGGTGGTGGAAGGACCAGAATAATGTTACATTAGTGGAAAGCCAAGTCTGATAAGCAACAGAGTGGGCATAAACCATACATAAGGGCAGAGGGAAGATATTCCTCTATGATGAAGGAAAGTATTAGAGTACACTGAGTGGTCACAAGTAAATAGACACCTACTTTTTCGTCATTTAACTGATTTATGCTAACTAATTTGTGTTCACAGAGCACTATATCAATGAAAATGGTCTGCACACTAATTATCTTGTGCTACAATATACCTAGAATTCAAGGTTCT